TGGGTGATACTAAAACAATTAGACCCTTCGCCCTCAAGGGCCACGGGTCAATAGCCCATTCGGCTTTGCCTCATGGGCTATTGACCTGTAGCCCTTGCGAGCTACGGGTCTAATTGTTAAATAACAGGGTTATATTTTATGAGCGGCCACACTGAAATGGGTTATGAGGTGGGTTAAACTCAATTGACATCATGAGATAAACCAACAAAATGGCAGACTTCGAGGACCCTGTTAGGTCTGTTGTTATATTCTCGATTCTTTTCCTTTGTTTTTGTTTCCTTTCTCTCCACTCACAGCTAAGGCAGTCCCTCTTCCTTCTAATGCACACTACGCAAATTTCTAAGGCAGTTCTTTCAAACATGATGTTAACTTCAAGTAGACATTAGAGTGTTCTCCATCACTGTCAAATCGTCCACGAGTCTGGATATATCCGAGAGACCAGCGATGGTTTGGGGAAATCCATAGGAATCCTGCCATGCATGACTTTTTTAGCGAGCACTTTCGAACGAGCTTTGATACTTTTCACACCCTTTGTCATACTCTGTCGCCATTTATGGCAAAGAGAAACACTCGCTTCCATGCAGCGCTGATCAGCCTACTGATAAGAGACCACTAACCTGGGTTAAAGCATGGTAAAAGGTGATTTAAAATTGACCTAACTCGGTTAAAAAGTCTATTGTTCATCAATTAGTTTCCATGGTAACAATAAAAGCGGTTTAAGTTCCATGAACAGCCGAAATTAGTGGCTGCATCACAACTTTTCGGTAACCCGTTAACCGTAATTAATTAATTAGAAATAATCCTAGTGCGGCCGCGGCCATTAGATGTTTGGTGTGTAGTATCGCTGTATATTTTAACTCGAGAGAGGAGTTTGGTTAAAATCTAAAAACTGTAGAACGGAAGAAAAACTTGGCCCGGATAAACACTCATAACCAGTAAAATTGCACCAAGGAAAGTTAGGGAGTAAACAGGATTCGGATTAAGCCCCGGCCAAACGATCGCAACATGTCAACGCAACTTATCGCAACATTGTTGGGCGCAACATGTTGCGAGCTTTTGGCCACCGTGTTGCGACGTGTTGCGACATGCTAGGTGTTGTTGGCTCAAATCAAACTTGAGCCAACAACACCCAACATGTCACAACACATCGCAACAGGGTGGCCAAACGCACGCAACATGTTGCGCCCAACAATGTTGCTATATGTTGCGTTGGCATGTTGCCTCGTTTGGCCGGGGCTTTATATTCGAAAGATGACAAAGTTGGATGACAAGATGACCAATCGCGCCGATCGAGAAGTCGCTCGAAACAATGGACTGGTGTATCCTGATTCGGTGTACGTTCTCAGCTGTAACCAGAACACTGATATCTGTGTTATTCATACAAAGATTAAGAGAAAAGGAGGCCCACTGGGACCATAGCAGTAAACTAAATAAGAGAAAAATTCATAGATTTGTTCCCCTGTCACAAAGCTAATACCTCGCTTTTCAACCAAATTTGGCTTGCAAATTGAGTTTTTTAGGTCTAGTCACCTGTTTGGTTGTCTTGCACGAATTTATTCGCTGATCCAGTACTGATTTCAGTGAGAGTTTGGGAAGCTACTTGCTTGATGCCGCTCCGCATCTTGGAGGAAACGTGAGGCGTCATGCCATGACGAGGCCTTGACGCAACTTTAGCCCTTCTTCCGCCTCAGGTTCCAGGCCTAAATCCTGCCGGCTAGAGGTACGCCCGAGGAGCACTAGTGACGAGTTTCCGGGTCGAGCGAGAGCGATTTGTCGGTGTCACATTGATTTGGGTATGCCCGAGATTTGGGTACCCCCCGTACCCAAATCCCTAGTGTTTTGGATACCCAAAACACTGAAAGTTTAAAACTGGGACAAATGAAATCATCCACAAGTCTGCTCAAAACCCAACTATCTTCTTGCGAAGCTTTTTCTCAATAAATTAAAGCATTATTTTGCTTGTAATAAAGACAATACGTCGCTGAAAACAGTCGCAATTCATAACAGATTGTCTGATCCGAGTCCGCAGTTATATAAACGACATACAAAACTGGATTCACGCGCCAAAGATCCTTGTATGAACATGCGCTTGGTGCCTATCGATAACCCTTGAAAAGCACGTTATTTTAAACAAGAAAGGCGCATTCTAAACCTCGGATAGTTCGGCGACTGAATTTAATCAATACGCGAGTGAACACACTGAGATACGGTCGTCACGCAATATGCACACTGGTCTAAAGCTGTGACTAACCTCTGTGTATGTTGCCTGTCTGAAATAAACTTTGTCTGACTTTCTTATTCATCGCTCTTTCCTTGACCATCCCTCGTATTAGATTTTGCCGGCGAACAGTTCTCTATGTCATTAAAGGAGTTTTTTTTGCTTCGGAAACAAATCCAAAATAAATATAAATAAAGCAGACAAGGCTTAAATCAGTCTTTGGACAAAGAGTAACAATTAAAAGTAGGATACCCAAATCCCTAGTGATTTGGGTATCCCCTTCCGAAGTGTTGGCTTGCAATCATTTATGTAATTCAGGGTAGCCAAATCGACCGAAGATAAAAAGGCAAAGCAAACTTAAAAAGAGGAAAGGCATTCAAGGGAGGAAAGGACTAGAAATGCCAAAATGTAAGGGATAGC